AGATTGGGTAAAGACCTGGTACCTGCTTGGTCAAAGGGACAAGTTTGTTAGGTAACCTGGTTTACGCTTTAATATCTTTTCTCTTTGTCCTTCTTGGTACTTGAATGGAATATAGAACAAATAATAAACTGAGTTCTTTTTTTCGATGATATTTTTCTAGAACATTTGGTCTGTTTTGGAACCATGGGGAATGTGTTTGTTTGGTAGCAAAACATAGTTCTCACAAGTTACCTGGCTAACGCAAACAATTGAGTTTGAGGAAGTTATTATATGTTGCGTATTCTGGTTTCATTATTTCACACAATCTCACTTTTATTGTTCAAAAGCTTTTTTCTTCATATGGAAATTTGACCTCTACCTACTGGGTTGCTCTATATTCTTATAGAGTTAGGGTATTAAATTTGATTTGTTCTCTTTTGTTTAATTGCATATAGTTTCATTTTGTCCATTGTGAGTTTTTGGATTACAGTGTTTGTAGACGACTATCGATTTGTTGTAAGATGTTATGCCATGGTCCCTAGGAATTTATGTGGTTGATCAGTCGGTGGGTTCGTCAAACTCGAAGCAGGAGGTCTGTCATTGATGCGCCCTGCTTACAGCAGTATGAAGGAGACTTTTAATGCTTACATGAGGATTCTGATATCATGGTGAATTAGAGATCGTGCAGACCAACAGCAAACAACTAAGGTGCTGCATCACTTGGGAATAAGAACCAGAGATGTAACACGGACTCAAGTGGATTGGAAACCAAAATGAAGCTTTGACCATCTGGATAAGCATGGTACTGATTACAGTCATATACATGTATTATGTAAACAGATTTTTCCATGAAAGCCGTATAGAAACAAGGTTGTATACAGATGATTGAGCAAGAGAATTTTCTGCAGGTGCTTCATTTAAATGTCTGAAAACAGCAACTATTTTGGTCCATAAAGAAGGGAGCTTGCAGTATGTATAATCATATAATCATAATCTTTCTTATTTCCATCGAGCTCTACTGTTTTGGCCCCAACTTAAAGGGTGTCTTTAGTTTGTAATTAAAGCCTTCAACATATTAGATTGAATAAATGTCACCATTTCAGAAAATTAAAAGTGCTTCTAGCACTTCCTACTCTATCAATCTCTTAGGCAGTCAGACTTAGCAGGGTGCTTAATTCTTTGGAATTTCCCATATTCTTTTTTACCATCCTGTTATATATAAGTTTGGTCTTGGTTAGTTATGATTTCAACCAAAGTGTGTTACAACTTCTCCTTATGAACAATTAACAAGGTTAAATGGTCAAAGAACTTGAAAATTGCAAACAATAATCCAAAACTTGCTTTCAGTAGCTAGAAATTTGGCATGTTCCATAGGTTTTCAGCGTTTGCTGCCTATTTTTTGTGCTTGCCAGGTAAGTTTAATATGTTAATAATACTGAATTTCATCAAAAAATCATTCTTAAGTTATTTATGTGGATAATAAAAAGTGGAAAAATTCTCTTCTTAAATATGAACAGTATATATAAATTTGTATGTTATGATGATCTTATGTACAAAAAAGTATTTATAAACTAATTATATGAAATTTCTCAAACAATAATCATCACAAAAATTACTTTCAAATTATATATAAGTTATTTAAAAGAGTGAATCATTTAAATATATGAATCAATTGATTAACATAAATTATAGCAAATTAAATGAAATTAATCCGACCAACGGGTCGGGTAAAAGCTAGTTAGTATAATTACAGTGGGCCCGCAACATTACAGATTGAGGCCGAGCCTTATAGACTTGTTGCAACCATCCTAATAGTAATGGCCCATAATACATATATGTCACAGTACTGATATTCATTAGCCTACAAAATTAGCTGCAACTCCTGCTTGGGAAATTGAACTATAGACACCACATTTTGTTCGGAGCAACCATCCTGCTCAAAACTCAAAAGAATATCCAACTTAAAATGAAAACTCAAGTAAAAATTTGGACGAGGTTGGTTGAGATTAGCAGTGGCGAATCAATAAGTACCAACGATTTTTAAGTCCGTTTTACTTGGTTCGAATATTTGTACTAGGTAGGATTAGCAGTAGCTAATGACTACAAAATTCGCTTTATTTAGAATAGCAATAGTATGCCGTCACGACTTATACTAGTATTATTGTTAACAATTAGTGACATAGGTTTGAGATTGGTCGAATTCATTTTAAAGTTTGTCAAATGGAATAGGAAGAACAGTATTGTTTTGCAAAAGATCACTATAGAATTTGGGTGTACAATCAGATATTCACTGGGCTCTTGCCCACAAATGATTACATGTACAAGTAATAAAACAAATACAAATGACCCTAATCAATTTGGAGCAGAATTTGGGGCTTGTAGCCCATCACTCGGAAGCCCAAACCAGAAACCTGCAAATAAAAAGGAGAGATCACTTAGCTTCATCCCATTTTAAACCATAAACCATTTCAAGCCCACAATCTTACAGCCCAATCTGGTCAACCGGCCTGGTCAATGAGTCAGCTTTGGTCAACTCGGGTTAATGGACTCCTTGGTCCTTATCTCATCCCAAAGGACCAACAATGATTACTGCTACTTCTTGAAAGGAGGAAAATGGCCAGCTCTTCTGCAAACTGAACAAACAATTGACAACACACCCAAATGAATAGTAAAAAACCAGATATAAAAGTGGAGGTTGGCTAAAAACAGAGGGGGGCTGCTGGCTGAAAATCCAAAAAAAGAGGGAGAAAGCAAAAAAAATACACGGCAAGCTTGATAAGAAAAAAGGCAGCTGATGCTCAAGAAAAAGGACACCAAATAGCAGCAACAAGTAAAAGCAAAAGGGAAAAGAGAGCAAAAGCAAAGCAAGAAGATAATCACAGCAACCACAAAGAAACCATTTCCAAGGGTCCAGGTTGGTATTTCTCAAACACATCCCATATTTCATATAAATACACATACATATACGAATGATCACTATATGCACTTGATAGGGATACTATAAAGTGAATAGATCTCTACTTCATGGTAGATCTGTACAAATATAATAGATCAGTATGTATATGGCTTGATTATAAATCTACTTTTGTTTCCACTTGCTTTCTTTTAAAAATTGTGCTACGAGCTCACCTCTAAAACAGAATTAGCATGAGAATAATGAAGTGGTTTGTACCTGTGTTCTTTGCTAGATATGTTTTCGTGATTGTTAATGTTTTTTATCTATGTATCTAGACATCTAATTCGGTTTACATTAGATCAATCAACCCGCCTAAGTTTCAGGATCTCCGTCTAAGATCGATTTAACAAAAATCATAACTTAACACTTATCTTAAGTTTAATAAATCACAAAGATGATAATTTCTTAGTGTTTGTCATCATATAGAATATAGAAAGAAAAAAAGCTTCAACCTCACAATCGACCCACAAAAACAAATCATAGCATAAGAAACCAGTTAATGGCAAAATCAATTAAGATCCAAAGTTCTGATTTAGTCATAGCAGTGGCTGTGACTTAGGTTATTGTTCTTAATAGTTCTTTCCAAACCATCGTTGATACTATATTCTTAAACTCCTATCCCAAACATAGAACAAAATTTTCTTTCGCAGTCCGAAATCACAAGCAGTGGCTGTGATTTTCGGCTATGTTAAAAGATTTTGAACTAAAACTCTGCAACATGATAATTCCAGATTTCAAAATCACAGCAAAAATCAAGAAAACAAACGATTTACCAAGTATTACCATAAAACACCAATTCAGCTAGCAGATTAAGAAACTAATTCCTAGCTAATTAAAACCCAGAACCTAAAGCCGTTAAAAATGAATCTCATCTCCAATTTTTACCTTTTAATCATACAAGGTCGTGAGATGGAAGAACATCACCCAGATCTCGTTCTCCTCTAACCTGCATTCCAACCCAATCATCAATGTTAGATTTCAATCCACTACAAGAAAACCAGCCTATAGAGGCAAATAATTAGAGGCAATTGGTGTATTAGTCTCTATAGCTAAACGTTAGGAGCAAATATATTATTTGACTCAGTAGGTGAAATTATTTGTCTCTATAGGCAAATCTGATCGTCTTTAGAAACAAATACAATTGTTGCTTATAGCTATGTTATTAGAGACAAATATAATAGTGTTTAGATGCAAATATGAATGCTCCTTATACATATATCATATAGACGCAAATCTAATAGTATTTATTATTTAGAGACAAATACAAATGTCTCTTATCATTATGTCATATGGAGACAAATCGAATAATCTTTAGATACAAATACAAATATCACTTATAGTTATGTCATATGGAGACAAATTTAATAGTGTTTAGAGACAAATCTATATGCTCCTAAAACACTAATTCGAATTGATTGTATTGTGTAGGTTTAAGCAATAGGGAAATAATTTATAAAAAAATAATGGGAAAAAACTTATGCCGCCAATTTCCCCATTTCTACCCAAACTTCTTTTTTTCTCTTAATTATTTAGTTTTTTCTCTTATTTTTAATATATAAATTAATAACTTTATTTTATGAATAATGTTCATACCTAATATTCAAAACTTAAAATATAGTGCATGTCTAGTTTTTACATTACACTAAGTTATTCGATTAATAAAATTATATTAATATTGTATAAAAAATATTATTGCACATTAAAAATAAAAGAAAAAATATAGCCCATTAACTGAACTTCTACATCTCTACAAATATATTATAGTGGAGTTAGAAGCAGTTATTCAGGATTTTAAAATTGCAGGCCAGAGAGCAATTTTCGGAGACCCAATTTAGTAATTGTACAACCCAATTAAACGAGGCTTTTTGTGTGTTTTGTCTGGCCCAATAGCTTGCTTGCTGAAGATAAAGGGAGTGTAGGCCCGTATCTGGGCCCAAATGGCTACTAAATGATGAAACACGGGCGACTTGACCCCATACCCTAAAATCATCACATACCCCACAAATAAAATAAAAAATAATAATAAAGAACAATTGTTCATCTTCCAAATCAGAAAACAGAACACTAATCGACGTAATCCCTCTACACTCGACCTAGCGACGACCTGCTCGCCGGCTTGCATCCCCAGTCCCCACCCCAGTCGCTCACACCGGCGGTGCAGCTCCTCCTTGGCGTTCTCCCGTCACTCTCCGAATCCGTTCTCTAGCGGCCAGCGCCGACAACCAATTGGAACTACGGGACGAACCTGCTCGCCGGCATCTCATCACCAGTCGCCGCCGGATTGAATCCCCAGTCATTCACACCGGCAATGCTCCTCCGATCCGCCTTTGCTTTCTCCCCGTCACTCTCCCACTCCGTGCACTACAACTCTCCTGATTCAAAATCCCCCTCCTACCCACCTTCTCTCTACATCTGGTTCAACATATAGACTATGCTTGACGTAGCTTCCAGCATCGGCGAGTCATCTTCTTCGCATATTGAAGATTACTTGGATCGAAGCAATGTACCGTGTAAGATTTCTCCTTGTACGTAACTAGCCGAGTTCAATTACAAAGTAAAAGGCCTTGCAGGATTGTTAATTTTACATCTTCCACGACTATCTACAGGACAACAATCTTTGATTCCTTTCAATTTATGGGAAACTTTATATCTTTCAAACATGTCGCAATAGTTAGGGGAACAGAGGAAAACAATATGCCACACGGAGACCTTTTAATCCATGATTATAAGATGCCAACAGGCATATGACCATGCCAAGAAACACATTTTTGGGTTTTTGAGAAAGCAAGTGTACAGGCATAAGTTGCTAGACCAAATCCCTCTACTCCAGCGTTTCCCAAACCTTGATCCGTATATGCGAAATCCACCCGCTAATTGTGCTACTTATCTCTCGCAGGGAATGGTCGTGCCATTTTCTTACCACCTGAAACTGCTCCCCCCGCCCCAAAGGACCCCAGGGTATATGAAGCAGGTAAGTTCGTATTCTTTCCCGTGATCGTATTATTATTCTTACCTTATTATAATATCATTGGAAGAGTGGTTCTTATTCACGTGCAGAGTTAGAGGCAATGCAGGCTGAGCTGGAAAAACTTACCTCCAACTTTGTTAGTGTTGCGCGACAACGACGACGTGCTATACTTACAACTAATCGATCCCGTACTGCCACACATATGGGAGACACACGCAAGTGAATATATTTGTTTCATAGTCGTTTTTCACCGCAACCTATAATTTATTCATATAATTTGTCACTCCTAATAGCATAATTATTTATACTAAATAAATATCATTTACAAATTTCAGTTACATCTCTACAAACCTAGTTCACAAAGCTTAATGCTGCACGCAATAGAATGTCGAGGCGCATTCATCTCTACCAGAAACGACAGGGGCAAAATTACTTCCGGGACCAATCTGGTATGCATATTACTCTTTTTACTTTATATATTGGACAAGCATAGTCTATCCAGCATGGCTAAACATCTTACTGTGCATTCATTATGGCATCCGGGTTCGAAGTTATTATGGAAAACTCGATTCAAATGTGAAAATCAGTTTTCCAACCAGTTCCCCTTTCTCATTTTCTGCATTTTTGGGTCAGCCTAATAACATAACTACAATCTTTGTCAAGCACGTGAGGAAAAATAAATATAATGATTAGTTAATTGTTCTTCATGTAGGATATCCATCTGTTGAGGTCTTTACAGTGGGCGCACCATCATGTGTGTGTTCTTTTTGTGGGGCTAGCATGTGGTATTTGGAGAATGTAAGCTCTACACGATCTGCGGCACCTTTGTTGTTTTCATTGTGCTGCAAACAAGGAAAGGTTAGACTGCCACGTCGCAGGGACCCCCCGGAATTTCTGAAAACTTTGCTTGAAGGGAGTACTGTAATTGCCCGACATTTTCGTCAATTTATTCGCGGATATAATGGAATTTTCTGTTTCACCTCGCTTGGTGGCAAGGTGGATCATTCTATCAACAATGGAGCTGGTGTCTATGTTTACTCTATTGGTGGACAAATATATCATCGCATTGGCAGTTTACTTCCTCCTGAAGGTACATCCCCCAAGTTCGCACAACTCTATATCTATGACACAATGAACGAGACAAGAAACCGATTGGATTTCTATAATCAAGATAGAGAGGCGAATCCTTTACGTGAGTCTGTTGTCGAAGGATTGCAGGCGATGTTAGATGAGAATAATATTTTGGTTCAAACGTTCCGCACTACAAGAGATAGATTAAACGAAGGGGCAATCCAACAAGCTCATATAAGATTGCTTCCCTCTGTCTGTGAAGAAGGCACTCCCAGCAATGAATCAAAGTGTTCCGATTGCTCAACTCACCACGGAAGAAAATCGGACTTGGATTTTGCAATGCAGAGTTTCAAGGAAATGGATAGCTATCAACCCGAATACTGATACTGTGATGAGTTTAGATATGTTGTTGCTGGATGCAAAGGTATTTACGACCTTCGGTACAAAGCTTTATGTATGACATGTTCCAACCTCAATTTTGTAACATTAGTTTGTGGACGTGGTCACAGGGAGATGCCATTTGGGTTCAAGTACCCCGAAACTTGATCAAGAGATTTGATTCAAAGATTAAAGAACAAGCCATCTATATCATTGCGAAGTTCAAAGTGAGTCAATTAGCTGACAACAAGAAGTATCGTCCTGTTAAGAATCCATTGTGCATTGAGTTTCAACCAGGGACAACCATTCGCCCCACGGACAGTACACAGCCCATCCCTCGCCACATCTTCAGATTCATCGAGTATTCTGACATACCCAAGAACATCAACAACATAATAGTTTTGCTTGGTAATTAATGTTTCTGTTTGTAGTAATTAATGTTTCTGTTTGTAGTACAGGTGTTTTCAATGTTCAATTACTAACTTATGAGATACCCACCTCTATCCCATGATGTAGATGTTGTTGGCCTGGTGAAGGTATGTTTGACTCCTATTACCACGACTAATCTGAGAGGGAGGTCTACTCGCAAGGAAATTAAGATCATGTTGCTTGAGTACTGTTCTAAATTTAAAAATTCCAACTTAAAAGTTTGCTTGCATCTTCTTTACTATTATACTGACTAATGATTAACAACAAAAATCTTAGGGGAGTTATGGTGACTTTAGTAATTTGGGGACGACTTATCACTCAACTAGATGAAGTCATCTTGGCAGCCGGTACCGGGCCAATCATTTTGGTTATTTCTTCTGTGTTTGTTACAAAGTACAATGGTAAGTTCAACTGAACTATCTATTACAGTAGTAATAAGTGGATGCTTAACTTCGTAGTCCTCCAATTCGGTTTTATCAGGTGAGGACGACCAAATTTTATGCAAGTTTAGATTTACCTGAAGTTGCAGCCTTCCAGCAAAGGTATTATTGTCCGAGTTTGTTTGTTCATACACATAACATAACAGAAGCATAATTCAAAGAAATACATATGCATCTACTAATTGTTCAGTTTTGGTGCAAGGAATCATGAATTAAGTTCTCCACGGTTCCTTGAACGAGAAGTTGATCCCCCACCAATTTTCATAGAAGATTTGATGAGCCTACTTAGCAACTCTGCCAATAAGGTAATGTAGACCAGTGTTTCTTTAAGTTTTTTGATCAAGGGCAGAGCATGTTATATCCATGAACAAGAATATTTATGCTGAATTATTATAAAGCGGACATGTTGATTTTAGTTGTTCGTTTGTCATCCAAGAATAAGGTGTTCACTATTAGCGGCAACGTTTGTGAAGTCATGCACAACTGGTGCTATGATGGTTGTGCGAAATGCTCCTCCAAATTGCGTGCTGGAGTGGATCATTTCTACTGTGACAAGTGTAATGCACGCTCAATTCAATAAGTGAAAAGGTTTGTGTATGTTGTATGCTTCTTATGAATTCCTTACTACTTCATGTTATTGGTCATATTGAGAAAAATCTATTTAGTCAACGGTATAACATATTTACGATTATAATATCATCTACTTATCCATTGCAGGTTTCGGTTTGAGCTGTCTGTGATAGACTCATATGCTGAAGCACTTTTTGTTGTGCTGGATCATGCAGCCGGTAATTTTTTTTGATAAGACGGCTGAAGAACTTTACAAATCGAACGATCAACAACCTACTGGGGTTCCATCTGTTATTCAGAACTTTCAAGGGCTAGATGTCACATTACAAGTCAAACTCAATTCATACACTTTCAAAAATCCAAGACATGGATTTAGTGTCGTGAAGATTGTTGAGCCTGAAGGGGTACATCAGCTACGCACTAAAACGTTTGAACCTGGTCAGGTATGTGCTTCCATTTATAAATTCTTGCTTTGGATGAAACAATGGGAATGGATGTCGTAGTGATGCTTAATTTCCAGCTAATGGAATGCCATTTGCATGCTGAACTCTGAACTATTTTGATGATTGAAGAAGCAAGCCTATGAATAATGATTATTCATTTTCCTGCGGTTGTCTCTATTTGGGCTATGAGTGAAAGTCCCATTTTTTCTCAACTAAAGTTACAACCTGTGTTGTACCTTATGCTACTCATGTTGCTACGTGGTGGTTTGGCCTGTTGCATCAGTATAGAACATGATTACCTATGAACGTTGGACTCCCCAATTTGCTTGCTGTGCATAATCATGCTTTTTTCGTATTGTTGTTAACTAAATATGAACTGAACCTTAACCACAAAATGTGCCTCCACCTTCTATCACAAATTTAATTAGCTGCATTTTGTCTCAGCACTCTAAGGAAGGAAATAAGTCTTCACCTTCACCCATCACTGTCGTGGGACAACAATCTACTGGAGAATCCATTCTGGATACCACAATTGCAGCTGGGCATGTACAGGAAGGAGATGGTAGCCTTGATGGTGGTGTTTCTATGCCTCTGAAGAGGAAGTTAAGTAAGGAGGAGTAGGTTGCCTCAGTCATATGGATGGAATAGCTTATAGCTACTATTAATTTTCTTTATTTTAAGTTTTATGTTGTGGATGACCCATCTTTGCCACATAAATATTTGAATTTTGTTTTACTCAAACTATGTTGAGTCTATTTTGAATTTTCAGTGCTTTCTTCATGACAAATATATATTTGAAGTCTCATTATTGTCCATTCTATGCATGTGCATTGAGTTTTCTAGAATCTAAATCATCCATATGAATTCCTTTAAGATTGGCATGCTTTGTTTTCTATCCAAACTTGACATAAAGCTATTGAGAATGAGTTTTTCACGGGTTAATTCCAACAATAATGTTTTTTTTATTATTATTTGCCACCAATATGGTGGTCTTAAATATAATGACACAGATATTGTGTTTTTGTGGGCAAACAGACGCGAGCTTGCAAGAGTCTCATTTAAAAGCGGATCCAAATTGGACAAATGCGGACCCGCATTAGACTCATGCGAATTCGCATGAGTGAAGTGGACCCGCAGCAGTCTCAAACGGGTTCGCATTAAAGAAGATTTTCTTATCTTCTTCTCCCCCCGCCTCGTCCGCAGCGACGCAACGCCCCCCCCCCCCAATCGCCGATCGCCACAAACCCGCAACCCAACACGGCTTCGTCCTGGACTCGCGCGGAAAGGAACGAGACACACGCGGAACCGCAGCTGTGGAGAGGCGTCGAACAAAACCAGATCTGGTTTGATGTCGGACTTCGACGAAGAACCTGCCGCCGGAGGAAGAGGCCGTGAAAGAGGACGCGGCCGGTACCGAGGTAAGCGATTCATTGGTAGGGAAGTCGCCGCCGGCCACCGGAAACTCGCTGCCGGCGGGGTTTTTCTGCTTCTAATTTTTATTTTTTTTGCACTTCCTAGGATTCTTGACAGGCATTCTACGAGACGACCACCTGCGACGATAGATACAGCTCCGCTCGATTCAGTACTCCTTTGGGCACATGGTCAACATCGTGCCGACTCAGTTTGGATTAACGAGGTAAGTATTTTATGTATTTTATTTCATTAAAGTTCATTAGCTAGTTAGATTATAATTTTGTGAAATTAGTATTTGTTTGATTAGATATATTTTACTAAATTAAACTGATTTTACTAGGTCAACTGAAATATTAAAATTGCATGCGAAATTTTGTGAAATTATTATTAGTTTTAGATTTTGTGAAATTAGTATTAGTTTGATTAGATATATTGTATTAAATTAGATTGATTTTACTAGGTAAATTGAAATATTATAATTGCATGTGAAATTAGTATTAGTTTTCATTACATATTTTTAGTAAATTAGATAGATTTGACAATATGTTCTGAAAATAGAATTACGCCATGAAATTGAATTAATATAAGTTTTGTGCACTATAGGCTGGTGACCGTGTTTACCAGACTCGAGGTACAACCAAATTGGTCACGTACCATCCACTTTATGAGCCGTATCTCCAGGATGCCGGTTTGTTTAGCGTTCAGCAGTTGGTCCCTATGACTGGTTGTATAGATGCATCTTTGATCACCTCTCTAGTAGAGCGTTGGCGTCCTGAGACATCGACCTTTCACATGCCGGTCGGTGAGGTTACGATCACTCTTGAGGACGTTGCCACACTGAGCGGTTTACCGATCGACGGTGAGGCCGCCATAGTAGACGTACCAGATCGTGAGTGGTCTGAGACGTGTACCAGTCTGTTAGGACATGCTCCTAACGATCTTAGCGGGGGTGTCGTTAGGCTTAGTTGGCTTAGGGAGCATTTCAACAATCTGCCGCCAAATGCATCAGCAGAGATTATAGGGCAGTTTGCACAAGTTAACCCCCATAACAAGCCAACACCATTTCCAGCATATAGATGTCATTTACAAGCCTATACGGGTTTACCCCCATTCGGTTGCAAACTGCAATGGTATGAGAGTAAGGAATTTTATTTCCTTGGAATTTCCCACAAGTGCAAAATCCCGCTCGATTGGGTTCATCGAAATGCACTGTGAGTGTGTTCGAACCCGTCATGTTGAAATTGTTGGGAGGAGTCTGTACTACATAGATGCCCTGACGTCGATCAACCCCGTCACGGAATGTCCCACTGCCTTTTGTGACCATGTCTTCATCTTCTCTTCGCACTTGATGGTGTACTGTGAAGGTCCACTTCTGATTTGTGCTTCTGTCTCCAACCTCATCTTATCAAATTTCTCCAATAATCGCCAATAAGTATGTTGCACAAGAGAAGCTATAGGTAGTGAACGAATACCTTTGAAAACACCGTTGATGCTCTCTGCCATGTTGGTCGTCATCATAGACCATCGAGTCCCACCATTATAGTTATCATGTGCTAAGCTCCAACGAATTTGATTTTGATCCACCCAGTTATCACAAGAAATATTTCTTTCAGTGGTCATCTTCTTAAATTGCTCAACTTGACGATCGAACTTCTCCAAGCGTTTTTCTCGGGCTAACAAAATAAATAACCACAAGAGTTAGATAAATTCATGATAATATTAAATTAAAATAAATAATATGTTGGAGTGTCAATCAATAACGATGAAGAGACTTACCGACTCGAACCAATTGGTTATACATAATTTTGCTTTTTGTCTTCTTTTTCAAGTTGCTTGCATAGTGTCGCATGCACCACCTCCACTCCCAACCTCTTCCGATGTCACCCATGGCTTCATAGAGTCCCGCATGTCTATCTGAGATGATGCATACGTCATTTCGATCGGTCAAACCTTGAACGCGATTTATAAACCATGACCAAATTTCAGTATTCTCGCTCTCCACAATGGCAAATGCTATTGGAAAAATCTTCTTCCGGTCATCAAATGAGCTCGCCATGAGTAGCACTCCTTTATACTTTCCAGTAAGAAAGGTTCCATCAACAACCATGACTCCTGGGCAATTCTTGAATCCATCTATACAAGGTCCATAAGCCCAGAATACTCGCTGAAAGATCGAATGACCTGGTTGAGCTGAAGGAACTCTTACCCAATCAATAACTGATGTTGGCATTTTTCTCTTTACCACCCGCAAGAATGTTTGCAACTAATAATAGGATTCTTCCCAATTTCCATGCAACTTCTCCAATGCTCTTTGTTTCCCATACCAAGCCTTCTTATAAGTAACTTGCATATTAAATTTATCTTTCATCTCGGCTTGCACAGTTAGAACACTAAGATTAGGTTGGGCACGTACCAAATGTTTCACGGACTCAGATATAACGTCGACATCAAGATGGCGATGATCTGTCGGTTGAGTCGTATTGCTACAAGAATGCACCAACTCGGCCTTCCTCACAGTCCATTCGCTTCCAACGTCTCGACATCCAAACCGCACCATCCAAGGACAATTTTCATCCTTATGCTTCAAGCATCTAACCTTCCAAATAGAAGGTGACGACTCCACCACGCCATACTGAAAGTTGCGTTGTAGTGCGTGGTGTTTAGCCGCCACCTGTGAAGCTTGTTTCGAGTGAAATATCTGGCCTTTGTAGAATTCCCCTTCAAAACCAGTAACGATAGGCATTGGAATTAACCCATATGAATCAATATATGATAATTCATCATCTTTTTCAGCAGCCTGCAAGTAAAAATATGGAGGAAAGTTAGGCTGCTCTTCTTCCCCATCTTCCTCCTCCTCTTCCTCCTCCTCCTCCTCCTCGTCGTCATCCTCATAATCATGGTCAGATGGCACACTCCATGTATCATCTTCACCCTGATCAGCCTGACTAATCTCAGCATGTACCTCACAGCCTGTTTGGATACAATTCAAGAAGAAATGGAAATGGAATTCTATTTCCAATTCCTATTTTTATAGAATTCCATTTCCAATTTTAGTGTTTGGTATAATTCCTCCAACTAAAGAAATGAATTGCACTTTTAACAATAATTAATAATGTAATATATTTATTTTATCTTGGGAAATGAAATATGAATGATAGAGAAAGAGAGTAGTGTGATAGTTGGTTAATAATATAATAATAAATAGTGATGGGACCCACTAATTCCATATTCATAAACACAATTCCTATCACTTTTGATAGGAATTGTAATTCCCAAAACTTAGCCAAAATGGAATTCATTTCTCAACCTTCTTATCCTTCCAAACATAAAATATGGAACTGGAATTGAAAATGGAATTCCAATTCCTGAGTTTTTTGTCTATCCAAACAGGCTGTCAGCACCCAAACAATAAGGATTTTGTGCCATAAAATCGAAAAACACATTCAAACCATCATCATCCACAATAGGCATCGCATAATGAAATAGAACACCATTCTGCCATTCTGGAAGACGGTAAGTGAAACCTGTGATCATATCACTATCTTGTACTGCTTCGTCTCTACGCCGTATTCTCGGGATTAGATTCTCACAAAATTGATGATATGTCACCCGACATGGAAATGTCAACTGAAACCTTCCACCACCAACGAAATGAACGCCGGAATTGTCGTCTACTTTCTCGGATTTCCACCAAACAATTAGTTCAAATTTCCTAAAATCACTACATAACAAACAAATGCACTAATTATTAACTAAAAAAAATTATAATAGCATTTTAATAATATAATTACAAAAATAAATGTCTCTTACCTAGCCATCTTTTGCAGCAACCAGCAGAGCTCCTCCCTCTCGTTTTTGTAGAAGTTTTTGGGGTGGTGATACTGAAAGGAGGAGAATGGAGGAGAAAATATATGCTGGAGTGGGTAAAACACTGTGGGTCGAATCCGCATGAGATTAATGCGGGTACGCCGAGTCCATGCGTTTCCGCAGCAGTCCCACGCGAGCCACAGCAGTCCCACGTGGGTCCGCACAAATCCATTTTGGATCCGCATTTCAAAGTATTAAAATTGAGTCTCCTGCGAGCCCGCATCTCTTTCCCCAAAAAACACAATATCTGTGTAAATAAATTTAAAACCACCATATTGGTGGTAAATTAAAAAAAAAGCAATATTTTGGGAAATTCCCCGTTTTTCACACCATCTTTAAGTTAGCGTCGTCGTAGAAATATTCTTTTTCATTTATTACATCGGATTTCTTAGGTCAACGTAAAAATAAGGATCGTATTTTAATTTTCTCCGGCCAACAGGCCGGGCAACAAACTAGGGGGTCGTTTGCTTGTGGGATTTGGGTGATGGATTTGGAACCCAAATCCCAAGCATCATGGAGTTGACACAAATCCTTTGTTTGTTGAGGGACACAAATACGTGGGGTCCACGGATTTGGACCCCTTTTTTAGATCCAAATCCGTGGACCCCACGGATTTGTAAATCCCACATTTCATTTGGGATTTGACAATAGATGGAAAAAATGTGAGACAAATCCATCACAAATCCATGATAAAAAATCAACTAAACAAACAATGTACTCTTCCAAATCCATGATGCAACAAATCCATAATAAATCCAAAGGTTTTTAAAACTCAAAACCTTCATTTTCAAATCCAACAAGCATGGTTGTCATGCCGGTGGCATGCCACCCGGTTCAACCAGGTTCAACCTGTACCGGTCATGAAACCGGCATGACACCACCTGTATGACCGGTATGATCGACTTATCCATTTTAAGTTTAATGACATCATTTTAATGAATTTAATGAATAAAAAAATTAATTTATTATTCATTTTATGAATGTAATAGTTAAAAGTTGATGATATTTGTTGGATTGTAACTAAATTGTCCACAAATATGTTTTATATATGATTAAATACATTGGATAATAATTGTTTTCATATTTTTTAAACCGGCATGAACCGGCACAAGCTGGTTATACCACCGGTCGTACCATTCCACTTACCAAACCGGCACAACGGTATATACCGGTTTGACAACCTTGCCAACAAGCAAACGAGCCCTAGTTTCTAGAATGACGTTTCAATTTCTTGGTTTGGGATTTTGGAGTGGGACTCCAATAAAATTTAATTTTCTTCTCCCATTAGTTGAGGTAATGCCGTCTCTCTCCAAACAGCGAACATCAGCCACAACCCACAACTCTTCCTCTGCTTCTCTCTCGTTCTTTTCTTCTTCCTTGCCTCTAATTTCCGAGAGAATCGATTGATCAAGAATCATCAATCGTTCAATCGACGTAGCTCTCTCCCGCGGTAGTTACCAAATCCCTCAGATCCGCCAAGAGAGATATCAGAAATGGCGTCAACGTTCATCAGCGACAAGACTCCTCCTCTGTTAGGCTTCTTCTCCTGGATTCGGACTTGAAGACGGTAGCCGTCATGACACCAATACATCAAGGAGCTCGCTGCCCCGATGATCTAGATCCACATATGGTAAGTGGTTTTCAACTGTCGAGTGCTTATAGGTCGAGCTTGAAAAATCTAGATCTAAGCGCATATTGGCGACGTTTCCTCCTCCTCCCATGGATTTATTCATCCCCTCCTGAGATTCGGTGCCTCGAAATCATCGACGTTAATTATAATATTTTCCTTGCATATCTTGGGTTTTGATTTAGTGGACGTCGCTTGAACTGGATTTGGACTTCATATGAAGAATCTCCGATCTGTTTGTTTGAGGGCTGGATGGGGCCTCTATAAATGGGGGAGCCTCTATATTTGGGGGAAAGTTCTCTATAAATGGAGGAGTCTCTATATTTGGTGGAGATCTCCAAAAGGATCTCCAAATTTGGGGTGGAAATGGGGTTCCCCAATTATAGAGACTCCTCAAAGCCCGCCACGTGCCGTTTCTTTTTCTTTTTAAGATTTTAAGTGTTAATTGGGGTTTAATTAGGGGATCAGTTAGGGGTTTAATTAGATCAATAAATTTCAAGTGTTGTGCGTAAACCCAAATTAGCTCAATCATTTTTTGTCAACAAAAATTTGGTCTCAAAATTTAAAAAATTTCTACCTGAAAATTTGTATTTAAAAATGATGACGAACTATACAAAAATTAACATGAATAAATTATATTAAATCTTCGATAAGTACATTTTTAAGTAAATGGAAAACTTAAAAAATGGAGATCTCCAAATATAGAGGATGTAGCATTGGA